CTGAGCCGCCACAGCCTGATCCGGCATCCACTGGCCCTCCATCCACTGGTCCCCCGTCGGCTGAGCGGCCACCGCCTGAGCCGCCAGTGCCTGGCCCTCCGTCGACTGACCCGGCATCGGCTGAGCCGCTACCGCCTGACCCGACATCAGCTGGTTCGTCAAAGACGATCCAGACTCCCAGGAGGGCTCTACGGACCCAGCTGAGCGCATCTCGGGGGCCGGCCTCCGGTCCGGATTTGTCGATGGCCTCTCAACCGGGTTCGACGACAGGCACGCAAAGATAGCAAGTGAGGTCTCCAGCGGAACGTACTTCCTCGATCCCGCGTAACTCTTCATTGGGCCGGCCCAAAAATAATTGCACTCGACCCCGCTGTGCACATGTCAAGCCAGGACTCAGAGCCCGAAAGCAAATGTCGTGGTCATGATGGATTCGGGTAGCAAAGGTTCCCGAACTTCTTGGCTTGACCATTGTTTTATCACTGCTCAGACTACAGCTCAGCGAAGCCGAGCCCGCGCCGTTTTTTGGCGGACGGCAGGTGTTCTTCCTGTTCCATCTGTTGTGGCAACAAACGTTTAGCGTGCCAGCGCTGCGGGGTGGGTATTCGCCAGGCGTCACAGAAAGCGACGAGCTCCGCGAGGGGCAAGTTGGCGTTCCGGAGCAGGCAGCTGAGGAAGTAGCGGTCGTCGGCTTTGGCGAGGCGAGGTGCAGTGGCGGCGACTTGGGACCGGAAGAGTGCGGCGAGTCGGCGGCAGCGGTGCGGACCGAGTACGCGACATACGCTATCCGCGGCGCGTTCGTGGCTCGGCCAGGGCGGGACGTTATCCACCACGTTCCAATCGCGGACGGCGGCGAGTGCGAGGCAGTTCAGCACGCGCGAGGTGACACACACGAGTGCTCGAGACAAATCCGACTCGGGCAACTGCCCGAACTCGCCCGGGAAACTGTCGTGGTACACCACCGTGGTGCAGCTCCAATTGAGCACAATCACACCGCGACTGCCCCATTTCCCCAGAACCCGCTTCATCGGGCCATCCGAAACGCACCGCTTCAACAACACTGCCAGGTACCAAAGAGGCGAAACTCCTGACGGTCGCGCCACCACCGCCTCACACTCCTTCACCAACGCAAGCACCTGCTCGGATCCGTAAACGTCATGCAACATCCCCGCCAGACTCAGCCAACGCCAACCCACGCTCCGCCACCGCTCGTTCGCCCTTTCGGCCTTCAA